TGTACCCACTTAGGTCACCAGCGACAATTACGACGTTTCTGACGGTATCGCAGCTGTCTTCTCCTCAGGCAGGGACCAGAACTCGCCTTAAATCGCTCGGAGCATCCAGTTTGTAGAGCATAGGCAGAAGAGAAGTGGTACAGCCGCCTGTTGATTAAGCAATAACGCAATCACTTCATCAGGCGGTCATCGAGGCGTTCCACGCTGGCTATCGAGTCCCGGAGAAGTTGAGAAACTGCTACAACCACTCCGTTGGTGGTTTTTGGTTTGCCACATAGAAGGGCTTTGAAGCCTCGACCAATGTCCCTTGACTTGAATTGACCATTTTGCTTCCTGCACAGCACACAGGTCTATACGTCTGCGCTCCAGTTCCCGTCGCTAGCTCACATGAGCGCCCCGTCATCATTCCACATTCAACGTTGCTACGGTCTTTTCCATGTTGCATGACTTTTGACCTAGCCTGGTTGCCCCCCCCCCTCCTGTGGATTCAACGCGTCCCCTCGCACTCTTTCCTCACTCCGCAGGGGATATACCAGTAGGCTCCTCCCGCGGACCGTCATAGCATTGTTTCGGAATCCATATGGCATATTGAAAATTGGTGATGCGACTTGGGTATTCGTAAGCCGGCCCATCACGAAGGCCTGTCACCTGCATCGAGTGTCTGCGATCAGCCTAGCTCGTAGAGAGCAGTTTCCAGTGGCCCTTCGTAAAGGAGCAGACTTCACCACTATCGGATGCAGTTTTAAGTGCCTGAAGCACGCGCGGGTGGTTTACTGGAAGGTAGCGAAGCTGTTTATGTGTGTTCATGGAAATCTTCGTGCTTATTTTCTTCGCTGAGGGATTACTTATCAGCCACTGGTTCATCATTGAGCAGCAACTATCCATGAGGTGATCGACGAGAACTGTCTTTAAGATTGAACTTGGCACTACGAAAATAATCGGCGAGAAAGTTTGGGAGTGCCGAAAGATTGGTGATGGATCGGTAGCTGAGCTTCATTCGAATCCTTCAGAGAATGCCTCTTGTGAAGGGCATAAAAGAGGTGAGTGTTACTCTCAGGCTCACATTACCACCTAATTTCCCTAAGGAGTAGTGCATAAAGGATCTGAAAGTAGCTCACGTATTGTAACTGCGCACTTATCGCAGCTTTACAGTAAGCAACGAAGGCTGGCCGCTCTGACACCTCCCTGCAGAGTTTTCCCACCCACCAAGGCTATCTCCTGCCACGAGTTCGGTTTTTGCGCCGTCTTGTTTTGTCATTTTTTACTGATATTACGGTGCTGAAACTGCGATGCCGGGCGTGAAACAATGATGGCGGGCCAGAGACGCAGGACATCGCTTTGCTGACATAAAACGAGCAGTCCGGAAAATTTGTACCGATTTTCTTGTTTTCTTTCTTCAATGGAGTGTCAGTTAGGCTGCGTTTATACTTTGCGGCAGCGTAGCGTAGCGTAAGCGGCAGTGCCGGGGAAAGGATAGATATCGATCTAGCTTCACCAGCGTCACCAGCGTACGCTAGCGGCACGCCAGCGTGCGCTAGCGTGCCGCTAGCGCACGCTGGCGTAGCGAGGGCACGGGAAGCATAGCTATCGATCTAGCTTCACCAGCGTTTCTCGAGCGTTTCTCCAGCGGCACCAGCGTTTTGCTAGCGCTTGCAGCGGCAGGGAGTAGAGACTATGTGGCCGTGAGAGACGCGGAATCGACGTGTATTGTAGAGACTATGTGGCCGGCAGAGACGCGGAATCGATGTGTATAGTAGAGACTATGTGACCGTCAGAGACGCGGAATCGACGTGTATAGTAGAGACTATGTGGCCGTCGGAGACGCAGAAGCGATGTGCATTGTAGAGACTAAGGGCGAGTGAGAGACGCGCAATGTGTTTTGTACCCTCCAGCTCTCCCATAGTCTCTACTCCCCTGCCGCTGCAAACGCTAGCAAAACGCTGGTGAAACGCTGGCGTACGCTAGCGTGCCGCTGGTACGCTAGCGCGTGACGCTGGTGACGCTGGTGAAGCTAGATCGATATCTATCCTTTCCCCGGCACTGCCGCTGGCGTACGCTGGAAGCGCTACGCTACGCTGCCGCAAAGTATAAACGCAGCCTTAGTGGTTTCAGGATTGGAACTGAACGCCACTAGCCAAGATATACACTGCGAAGCACAATTAAGTTCCACCCTTGAATCTTACAGAATCCCGTCAAACACGACGTTTTCCAAAATGCTCTATACAAAAATTAGCGGTGGATTACCAATGACCAGTCGCGTGCCCGACACCGCAATAACTTGGTAAAACAATTTTTTTTTTTCGTCAATTTTTTCAAAAATGGTCGTTCTGACAATGCAGCAAAATGATAGTCCCACAAAACAAATCGAATAATCCAACAGCATTTGTGCAACAAAATGAATAACTTTTGATCCAATTATCTATTGTAACACTATTTCTCCGACTGAGTTGGAAAATACGCTTGCCATGCTCGATTAGGGATTTTAATAGGCTTTCGGCTGACTGCACCAATGATTAACTCCCTAAGCTCACGGACATTGTGGAATCATGTATTGTTCGCAGAGGTCTACGCACCATGATGCCCCTCAAATCCTCGATTGGATTTAAGTTGGGGTTACTCGTTGGCCAGGGCAAAAGAGCGGTTTCGTGAAGACAATCACGCTCGAGTGCTTGGACTGCCATGAATACTTGGCGCATACTGCTATGAAAACAGGACTTTTTTCCTGATTTTTCTTTTTACCGGCGGTCGGAAAAAGGAAGGAGACGTTGTCGCATGACATTTAGATAGAAGGAAGGGATCATTTTTTTTATTTGGAACACAGTTGCATTGATGATAGCAGCCCAGACCATGAGACGACATCCACTGAAGGTTCGCCCGGAACACTGAAACTTGTCTTTCCTCAGGTCGTTCAGCGGAATCGGCTTTTGTCGGAGCCGTCGCAGTCGAATTTTGTCCTCATCAGAAAACACGACCGCGAGAAAAAAGCTTAAAAAAAGAAAAAAAAACAAAAGACAGACAAGCAGTATGGCAACGCAGGCCAAAGGCTAACCTCACTCCAATCGGTTCGGCAGTATACAAAGCAGATTAGGTTTTTGCGATGGTTTTCGTTAGAAACAGTGCCTAACTCTGCGGGTGAACTCAGAGTTCTTCAAAAGACGCCTAACAGTATCCTCCACGACATTAACCACCGGTGATGACTTATGTATTGGGTTGGCACATAAGTACTTTCGTTTTTTTTCAACCGGAAATTTCGTTCCAAAGATGAAATGTTTTGCTAGCAAGCTTGATATCATCTGATAGGAAACTTCACGTAGTTTTAGAATATCAAAACGGCTTCGGTTGAGGGAATAATTTTTGTGGATTTTTTAGTCGTTGAAGTTGAAAGCGAAGTCGGCGAAAATTAGCACCTTCGACAACTGCCTCTATTTACGTATAGTCGAAGTGCTAAAATCGCTTAAGCTGCTCCATACATTTGGAAAAGGTCGAGCTAGAAGTTCCAGCAAGGGAATCTCACTAGGACGCTTTGGAACGAATTTCAAGAATTTTGAAGTTACCAACCTTCACCTCGCCGATATTGGGCAGCTCACGTCTGTTCCACCTGAAATTTTATGCTAATATTTGAATGTTTCGCTGATATGTTTTGCATGTTCTGATAGCAAATTTCGTGCTCTATAACACTGCTATAGAAATCTGTTCTCCAGAGGTGTTTGCTTTCTGTTAAGTTCAGGTTATCATTACGGAACGCGAAGTCGTTGAGAACTAGCGTTCCCGTTCTCCACGAATTTTATGCTAACATTTGAATGTTTCGCTAATGTGTTCTATATGTTCTTATATGTTCTGATAGCCAATTTTCGTGCTCTATAACACTGCGTTGCAGTTATTTTGAAAGCCGTTTGGTGAACCTCGTTTTTCAGGTGGATAATATGGAATGTCAGGTCGATAAGCATCAGCACTTCAGACACCTCCTCCTTTTCGCATTCAACAGAGGTATCAGAAGCTGCATGCTGCTCGGGAAATTCGCAAAGAGCTGTCCTAACATTAGTCTGTTACTCTGACCTGTTACCTCATGCTCTACTCAAACCATGGCGATTTTATTGAGCTGCTCTAGGAGCTTTGAAGCTTCAGTGGACAGCGGTTGAGAGAGGAAGTCGGGAACTCTAATTCTCATCGACCTCACGCTTCCGTAAGATATCCTGAAGTTAAACTGCGTACTTCATTCGAACTATGGCGTAGTATACGTGAGATATTCCCATCTGAAACAAGTGTCCTCCTGTCGTGTTTTGGAAGGAACCTGTGAACAGCCCCAAAAACAGCCACATCCCACCAAAAGTGCAATATATTATATTATATAAACTAAAAACATGCAACAAGGACGACATTAACAACACACGATGGATACGCGAAGATCGGGGTATGACTAGATTGAACGAGAAAATCCGCAAAGGATTTGCAAATGGAAATAAAATTGAAAATCGGGGGAAAGTATTAATTTTTTGGAAAAAAATTATTAAGTGCATACCAGTCACCTTGCACGTATCCACACATTGAACGAGGGACTGGCAACAAAGAACACCGAAGATGTACAGAAACAAACATAAAACTTGTTTAGAGTACCGGATACCACGCATTCAGAATGCCGACGTTTGATCTGTTTGAGCCACACAAAATAAAGACCCATACCCATTTTAAATGAAATCACCCAGAGAATGAAAAAAATAACGTAGATCAAACGTCACAGCACTTCACGTTCATGTCAAGGTCAACGAAGTTACTGGCTCTGAGAACCCAAGAGAGACAAAAAAAGCTTGGCAGCATGCCAGAACCCCTTTCACAATAACTGAAGAACATGCAATGTAAGTAATATACGGATGGGCATACACACGTGGGTAGGAAAGCTACCATATCGGACACTAAAAAGGCACACTACAACTTTGTAAAACGGAAAGCTGATTTTATAGGAAATCTATAATATGAGCCTGCTGAAGCCAACCATACAGCAGTCAAACGTTGTACTGCGCAGCAAGACGCTCCCGCAATGGTGGTGGGAACTGTGCTGTGAACGCCGTCCAGTTCTCAATGCCAACTTGACTTCGAAAGCCGTTCAGGATCTTAAAACGGTGGCTTTTTAACGCGAAAAAAAGAGAATCGCACATTAGTTTAACGCGTCAGGCTACGTTCAGCACTTCCAAAACGCGCAACTGTGGCGAATCGCGCTCCACTGCTAATCGCTGAGCTGATGGACCTAAATGGATCGGATTAGCAGTTACACTGGTCCAACGATTAGCAGCGGAGCGCTCTCGCAGTCGCGGGATTCGGGAATCGTTTGAGTCGTGAAGTATGAGCGCTGTCTCCTATTGAGACTCATGAAAATTTAACGACAAGGACAAACAGTGCCACAAATAACGTGAAAGGGTTCTAGTAATGCTAGAAACGAGTGAACAAATAGTTGATTACTTTATTTCCCGCGCTAACAAAATTTGTTTTTATGATACCCATTTTTTATTATTGCTATAGGTTGAACCTTTTGTCCATCGTTAATGACTACAACCGCTCAGTGAGAATGAACGTCACTTTTTCGGACCCTCCACCCTCCCTACATCACATCAATAACCATTTCGAGAGAACAAGAGAACAATAAGTCAGTCAATAACTCAGCGGACTATTGAGCGCATTAGGAGAATCTGGCATACTGAAAATGCCTCGTCTTCGAAAATGCCGTTATTGCATGTTTGAAAAGCTCAATGCTGTTCAAAAAAAAAACGGTGGACAAGACAGGACTGACTACAGGACCGTGAGTCACGTGGCTCAAAACCTGTCCAGAAGGATGAACTAAGGCACTGAGCACGAAAGCACACTTCCCCCCTTATGTTGTAGAAACGTCGCGTTACATCAGACTAACAAGATCTTTTCGCATTTTGTGGACTCTCACCTTGTCACAGGGATTGTGTCGTACCAAAACCTCTTTCTCGCACTTTGTGGACTCTGAAGTAAGGCGCGGGGGGAAGAGGGACTAACACCATCGACGTAATTAAGCGTAATTAAGCATATGATACAGCAAAACTCTAGAGTTTCTATTAACCAACTCACGCACCCGTGAAAACATCTCCTTTAGCTCAGGCTTTGGTGCTGACCACGAGGCAATCGCATCACACAGGAAAACGAAATCCTAAACGTTCACAATTTTCATTTCCTGAGAGATTCAAGTGAGTCCGAAATTTGTGAAAGTTAGCGAAATTCGCACACAAAACTCAGTGACTTTTCTGTTCTAACCAAAAAATGAGAAAAAACAGAAAAGAAGAATAAGCGAAGGAACCTACATTGAACCACTCCCAGACGGATTCAGGTTTATCATATAGCAAATTCCTCGGAAAGCGCTTTCTTTTTCTGCGTTGTCTCTGATATTCCGTAGACTGAAGCATGCTGGCCGGATAAAAGTCACTAGATGAGGGGCAACTTCTTCGGCACAGTACGTTCCCAAACGACCAATCGTAATCGCTGCAACATATCTCATCAAATCGAAACGAAATTTCATGTCTTGCCCGCAAAACAATTAAAAAAACGCTCTTTGTTGAACAGCCTGATTCTCAGCACCCGCCAGATATTTTACTGCTCAGGACACCCCATCCTCATTCGCTGATGGGTCTTACAAAGTGGCTACGTTGACTGCGCAGTTA